CTAGGGAGGAGACTTGGATCCTGCCCAGCCTTTTTCATGTTCTGACAAGCTGGGTAGGCCCCTGGGATATTTAATATTTTCCCTAATGGCTTTAATAAGGGACCCTATATACTAATACTTTTCAAGGGGAGTCTTAGGGGCCAACCCAGTTTTTCATGTTCTGACAAGGTGCGTATGGAGGCGCTGAAGGTCGGCACTTGCAACCCTGTGAGCCCTCAACCTACACCCCGAAACCCTCTTGAGTAGTATTTTATTTGGGGATACTATGGTACCCATTATAGTGTAAGATTCTATCCTCCCTTTGGGGTATAGTATTTAAAATAAGGAATATAGTCTTACTAGGCTCAACCACCCAAAAACTACTCACTTGCAAAAGCCATCAAACCCTCTCCACAATAGGGTTTTGGGTTTATAGGGCTTATCACACCCTGTTAACTCTGCATGGGCAAGATTTCGTGGGAACGCCAGGTTTCCATTACGGCCCACCTGACCCTGGAGAAAGCCCAGAAGGCCAAGGAGGCAGGCGGGTTTAGGGGTTTAGGGTTTAGGGTTGCAGGGGAGTCCTGTACCGGGTCCTGACTGGATAAGAAGAGTAATAATCGTATATAATCGTAATACTAATAATGGTAACCATGGTAATCATAGTCATAATGGTAATAACAATAATAAGAATAATAATAATAATGGTAACAATAGTTTAAATGATAGTAATAACGATAGTAATAATCGTAACCATAGTAAGCATTTTAAGAATAGTAATAACGGAGCTGTGCAGCTGCCCAAGCTCAGTGCCCACCGGACAGGCCGCTCATGCCACCACCATCTCAACAGGGTCTTCTCTGAAGTCATGGTTGGGGAGACAGGCTACTGAAGGTGAGTTGCGAGAATCCTGGTCTCATTACAGTAGCCGTCTATCCCTCTGACATACAAGTTTTTTTCTGCAGTACTTAGGGGGGCTTCACAGGTCCTGCTGTATGCCGTTCTGCACTTTGTTTGCTAGGCACTGTTTTTTTTGACGGTGTGGCATCTTGTGTCGCCTCGTTTGGCCACACCTCCTCGCTTACGTTCCCTGCAAGATGCCAGGAGACGGCTGATATCGACGAGAAGGTGGTGGTTCGCGGCGATGTTTACAAGATGGCCCAGAGCGTTTCGCGCGGGGTCCTGTCTGGGGAGACGGGCCCGGGCTATGCTTACGCTACCGCGCTGAGTGGCGGTCGTGAACATCTTGCCGTCAAGATGGTGACGCACAGCTGGCGCAACAAAGCACCCTGTATGAGTTGATCACCTTGATTCTTTTGCAGTGGAGGTTTTCGCGCTTCTTGGGCTTCTCCTTGCTCAAACTGGCACGTTGGCCATGCACTCATGCCTCTCCCGGGGCCAAGATGTCTATTTGTGAGAACCTACGGTACAAAATCGAAAGAGTAAAGACTATATTTGCTATATTGTTGTCTTTTTTTCCGAATACAAGATAATGTAATTTAAGACCTTGTTCCACCTGCTTTTATTTGACCAGGACTTTGTATTCAGAATGCCCGGATAAGGAAACAGGCCTCCGTTCAGGGGGGTTGTTTGGTAATCTGTATCCACTGTCGCGGAAGGGGGTGCAAGCTAAGTTCACGCACCTCCTAGCCGGCGTCCTCGCGGATGCTCTAGACGCAGAGAAATATGATGAAATTGCGCAGAGCCTCCGGGAGCATGAATTTGGCAAGCTGACCAAAGCCTTGCAGAAGAAAGGAAAGCTCGACGTGAGGTATTGGATTTGTGCTTTCTCAGTAAACCAGCATGCCGGGATTTGTGCAACACCTCCGCCTACGGATTCGACTGGACATGCCATAACACCTTGCAGCTGCACAACCGCAAAGCATTTTGAGGGAGACCTTAGCGAAGCTAGGCTGCAACTACTCTTGTTAAATTCTATGTTGTTTGGATATTGGAGCCCTGAATTAAGTTTAGGCATAATTAAGGGCTTGGGGTTAAGGGGTTGAGGCAGCACCATGAATCTGGGATTAAGGGATTAAGGTTTTGGGTCGGGGGTTGGGCCGTAAGGAAATGAACAAGTTCGATGACATGATGGCCTATCTGAAGAAGAGCTTTCGCCAGCAGGGCAAGGCAGCGAAGAAGATAGGGCTTTGGGTTTCGTCTCTCTGTTTAGGGTTTGGGGTTTAGGGTTTAGGTCTCTAAGCAGACTTTGCAGAGATGTGTTGTGTGAGGTTCTTTCCGCAATAATCTGATTGCTTTCTGTCGTGGGACCGCTTCGTTGTCCCAGTACCTAGAAACCCTGCAAGCCCTGAACCCTATAGCGCTGAACTGAACTGCCACAGCCTTGATGTCCTTAGGCTTTCTTCGAGCTTTCGGTGTTCTAGGAAGCCCCTAAGAAGGCCCTGAAACCTGAAAATCCAGTGAACACTAAACAGTAAAAACCTGAGTCCGTGAACCATCTGAACCATCAGATCCTTTCCAATACATGGACGATTGTGACGCTTTAGTTTTCGAGTGAGAGCATGAAACCCTTTAACACATTTTAACCCCCAGAAGTTGTTTGTTAGCTTCTTCTTCCCTAATGTCGAATCACGATTCGTGCGGGGGGGCCAATAAAGTAAAGCTGTTCAAAAATTATTCTGGACCCCCTATTCGATTTGGGGGGGTCCCAATCAAGTAAAGTCTTTTGCCGAAAAAATAGGTAAACTGTTGATCAACGTTCTTTCTAATTGTTGTTCAAAGGGATTTCTATGATTTTAGCTAGATTGTAATAACTTTTGCTAGGTTTTCACAGGCTGAAGACCCTGCCTTTCCTATTCTCTTGAAAGGTAGTTATGGATTCAATAGGAGCCGAAGGATCCCTCTTCCTTTATTGATTTTAATAGGAGCCATAAGATCCCCCAGACCCCCAATTCGTTTTGAAGCCTTTACAGGGGCTGCCCTTTAGGGCCCCGCCTACACTAATCAGGATCCAACATTATAAACCCCATAAACCCCATATCAACCCTAACACCCTACTGTATATCTTCTTCCCTATAAAGCCCTATAAACCCAAAATCAACCCTATAAACCCACATAAACCCAAAACCCTAAAACTCTAAACCCTAAACCTTTTACCCTAAAACCCTAAACCCTAAAACCCTGAACCCCTAAACCCCCCGAATCCATTACTATAAACTCCTAGTATTCCCCTAAATAAGCCCTAGAGTAGTCCCCTATATAATCCCCTATATAACCCCCTTTAAGGAGTTTAGACTATAGCTCATAAAAACCCCCTAATCCATTACTAACCCTAAAACCCTATAAACCCATATAAACCCCCTAATCCATTACTAAGTCCCTTCCTTTAGCTTCTGCCAGGCCCGCTTAGAACAGGTCGTGGCCTTGGAGGTGCCCTCCACCACCTGCCACGGGTGTTTAGGGGTTTAGGGGTTTA